TTCTGGATCCAAAGGAAAGATTGTATTCTATCTGGCACCAGGTCTGCAGCAGCAGCATTAAATTCAGCTCTAACAACGGATCATTACTCTATACATACACTCGGAACCACTTTGGTGTGCTTGATATGAATGAATAAAATGCATTACTTACTTTAAAAATTAAATAAACCATATTTTTTACCCTGTTGAGGGTTGATGAAACTGTCACTACCTGATTATGGTTTACATTAAAGTACATATTTTCGAAAAAAAACCAACCGAAATTAAGCATAAGTGGAATACTACGGCTATTGAGCGCCTTCTGATAAGTAACGTAATGTTTTGTTTTGTACTATTGCTCATATATTACATTTATATTCTTCTACCTTACTCATTTATAAGCATTTGCTAATGTGAACTCAACAAAACAGCTGATACACTATCTATGATGCAATGCTATGAAATTAAATGTGTTTTTTGACTTGTTAAGACCGACTGTAGTGAAATTTATAACCAACTCACCACTTTTGTCATCAATATGTAGGAAGAACTGAGTGAAACCAATTGCTAATGTTTGCTTTTTCAATTTTTTTTTTCCTTTCGATGACGCTGACAGCCACAAACCTTTTTCTGTTGTGCCCAATAGGCGCTACTTAAAGCAAGCGAACAGAACATACAGACATATGTACGTACGTATGTATACACATTTGGTTTAGTTTTTATGCCTTTTCCGTAACAAAGCAGATAGGGCAATGGAAAATTTTCACTTTTTTTCTGAATGAGAATTGACGACGCGGAAGGTAATAGATTTAAATAAAGCAACAAAAAAGCAGAACAAGTAAAAATTTTATAATAACAAAAGAATCAAATATTTGGAAATAAGAAAAATAAATTGATAAGAAATGACGGTTAAATAGGTAGAAAAAGCAGAGTAGGGAGAGAGAGAAAACATAAAAACATAAAAACATAAGTATGTATGCTGTGTGAATTTGCTTAATTAACTTGGGAATTATGGGAGAATTTTGGCTTTTGGCGCTTTAAATCAGTGTGTCTAATTTAAAATCATGTTTTTTGGCAAATAAAATTTGAGTTAAGTCAAATATTTTAGATGCGCATGTTTCAATTTGAAACGTGGTGTGTAAAGACGGTCATGAAGAATGAAAGTTTTGTTCTAGTTGATTTCATTTGAATAGTAATGCGCATATATATGTACATAGATATGTTATGTGCATACCTTCGCACATAAGTATGTAGGCATATGTATGGAAATACAAATTTATGTGCATAAATATGTAAAGAGGCATATGTATGTAAATACAAATTTATGTGCATAAATTTGCATGTAGACACGAATTCTTTGATATTCTTCATACTATATTTTTAATGATCAAATTTAAAGCTTTCATATTTGAATGCTTTTAATATGAATTTGAGTTAAATTATTATGCTGATTCGATGTACGCAAGTAGCGGAAAAAAAATTTTACACAAGAAACCTGGTTGTATGCCATAATTTTGACAGCAGGCTGATCCGTTCCTTAAGAATACAAATTTGTTGGGATCTAAGGAATGTCACGCCTTTAACAGAAATATTTAGAAATATTGCTGCTTCAACTAAATCAGTAGAAATAGTTACGATTGGAAGACTATATCCGAAATAAATCTTATAAAATGAAAGCTTTCGAAATAACTATTAATTGGCAACGCTACCGACAACAACTCATTAAATTGTAGCCAGATCCACAAACAGTATATTCGGAATGGACCCTATTTATTATAATATAAATATTATTATAATCTATAACTATATTCGTGATATTTTATTTCAACGTTTATTTGAGAAAAAACATAAACAATAGTATTATTCAAAGTATTGCTCAACTGAAGCTACAACGTTTTCCCATCTTTCTGGCAATTTGTGGATGCCATCCCAATAAATTGCGCCGGCTTGGCGGCCAAGAGGGCATCAAGCCAATTTTTGATACCGTATTCTGATGTCAACCGTATTCTAGTGAGTTGTTTTTCAAATTGTTTCAAAGCGGTTTGGCAAAATGAGGTCGAGCGTTGTCGTGATGGCAAATTATGGCCTCGTATCTAGTCGCAAATTTAGAGTGTTTTGTGACCCTCGCTCGCTTCAATTTGATGAGTTGTTGTCGGTAGCGTTCCCCACTAATGGTTTTACACGGTTTTAGAAGCTCATAATACACACACGCCCTTCTGATCGCAGCAAATACAACGCATTACTTTGCCGACATAGATTTTTGGCTGTGCCGTTAATTTGGCGCTTCACAAGCCAAAATTAACACTTTTAAATCGTGCAAACTAGTTTTGGCGCGTTCAATCAGCTAGAGCATGTTTAGCATAAACTTCCATCAAAATGACCACGATGACTTCCGGCTGAGGTTTTCTTTATATTAGAGTATCGAAGAAGAATCCTCTGCAAAAACACGTTTACGCTTCAAATTAATGATATAAGGTATACACAAAAAGTTACACAAAGACTGTCGCAACGCATGTTCGGTATATTGGAACAATGGTATAAAAAAAAAGTTATGCCAATATAGTTATTGCGCATATGGCGTATAAATTTACACACATACAAACATACATATTATTTAGGTATATTCTATTTCAGTTGCATAATTAATATATTAAGCCGTATGATATTCTACAGGGCAGTTTGTAGGCAATACAAAATCAACAACCTAATAACTGATTAATGAATAGGTTTATACTCAGCTCATACACACATTTCCGTAAATGTAAAAATATTGAACACGCCTGCACTCGGCTTATTTTGCAATATGTCACTTAGTTTTACAAATACTAGAGACGCAGTAAAACTTTTTATAAAAGGCACGTTTTTAAAATATTTTACACATACATATTATTTGTACATATGTACATACATATATTTGTAAAAAAAATTGTATGCATATATATGTATATTGTGGCTATGAATCTTAGAAATTATAAATGAAAATGTTTCTGATACTATTTAATGCGCGCTAGTCCAAGAAATATATATCGAATGTCGTATGTTCATATTATCTGAAAATTTGAAGTTGATTCGGCAAATAGTTTCGGAGATAATACCGTATTTTTAAAATCTTTAAAGTTAGTGTAATTGGCTCCCAAAACTTTGACTTCAACTTCTTCTTCGCTGTTCTTGAAACGCTGTTTTCAGGGTGGGTGAGGAAAATTCCTTCGAAATGGTTGGACCAATCGACTTAAAATTTTCACCGGACTTTTTTTTTTTTAAGGTATTATATTTGTCAGGTAATGATCAAGGACAAAGGAACTACTTGTATATTTTTGATAAAAAATTTGGAGTTTTGACTAACTTTTCGATCACTACCTGTACTCATCTGCATTAATACATTTTTTGCTTTTTTGGATTTGAGATAATTTAAGCAGAAAAAACTTCCTTACCGCCAGAAACCTTTTTCGGGAATGTCCTGGAAATTGGCTACGGTGGTAAGGTAATTCAAACGTTTTCAAAATTAGTCGCCGATTATTAAAATACATATGTACATTAAATTCTGTAAATTAACAGTTCTTTCATATATTTATTGAATAAAATGCCTCTACAATAAAAATCACGAAATCGCGCGTTATTTCTGATTTGCAAGTAAAATTTCTTCGTTTATACAAGTATATTATAATATAAATATAATGTAAGTTATATATTTATTAAGTAAAACTATAAAAATAACACGACTCGTTTTTCACTATGTAATATGCATTTTATGTACGTAAATTGAACTGTAAAATATGTGGCAGCGTTTAACAAATGTCAATAGCCTTTCAAATAAATTGATAATTGTCAAATAATAGCCACTGCGTGGGAAGAAGTTTGTAGTTTTGCCAAGTTTTATTTAGATCAACTAAAAAAAAATGTTATTGTATATAAAACATATAAATGTATTTGCTTATACTAAATACGCACAACAAAAATTAAAATCGAAAGAATTTAGGAATTTTATTAACACAGAACAGCACTGAGTATATAAAAAACAAAAACGTAAAAATAAAAACAAGAAATGCTTAATGAATCAATTATCAAACAAACGAATGATATAAATTTAGAAAATGCCAAAAGAGATATGTACATACATATGTATATAACAGAAGTAGAAAATGATTTAGCATATATACACTTATAACATATACCTAAGTGTATATTATATGGATTTGTATATGCAAACAAATCTGTGTTGTCGAGAATGCGTGACGCTATCAGTCAGTTATATAGCTGCTTTTAATTTATTTTTTTTTTGGCGACACGCTGTGCAATTGTCTTTTTATTTTTATGTTTATAACCAGATGTAGGTGTACTTATACCTATAGGCATAAAAAATATATATATTCGAATTTGCGAATTAGCCCAATTGGACAGAGTACTGGTTTTGCGAAGAGAACTGGCAAAGAATAGGCTATTTGACTCAACAATAAAGCCACATGAGAACATTCAAAGCCCTAGAAACTTTGTATAAATAATCGCCTCGTTCCATGTGACAAGTTGGCATGGTTAACAGCAGATATTTCATACAATATATTATCAAAAAATAATCACATTCCTGTAGGGTGCAAACCAAATATAAATGTTACAGCAAAATTCGTTCTCGCACAAGTATTTGTGTATGCGATTCGCTGATTGCATAATAATTGAAAGCACGCTCGGGTAATACCGGCAAGTACACCCAAACAGAAAGCGATGAGAAAAGTATACAAGCAGGTTTCAAGTCCATAACAAGGGGTGAAGTGGATATGTAAATTAAAAAGCTAAAATCAAAGGCCGTTGTCACTTTCGTTTAAAACTGTTTTATCCGCATAGTTAGGTATAAATTATTTATATATGTATGTAGGTCGGTATATAAATGTAAATATGTATTGTAATAAATAATCTAAATTCAATAAATCGGAAAAATAATACATAAATCTAAACGTTAACTAAGTACATCTGCCTGCATTTACAAATTTATCTCTTTCCCTTTCCAATATATAACATTTCGCACTCACCCTTGGCCTCTTCATTGGCACGCGCAACCACTGCCGCTGCTACCGCTGCAGTTGCATTTCCTGTTGCTGCAATTTGATGTTGCGGCGACATCTGCGCCGGCGTTTGCATAGCCGAAGACGACGACGATGACGATAAGGACATCGCATGTTGATCCTTCAGCTGTTGCAGAGACGTCAACTGCTGTTGCCCCAAATTGTTGGCGACATGAGCAGTAAGCTGCAGCGGATTCGGCGCTGCTGGTGTGCAGGCTGCAAATAGCATTCTGAAGCGTAGCTGGATTTCACCTGTCTTCAGCTGCTGCTGCTGCTGTAACTGTAACGACTCCGTCGGCTATACACCTTTGACGCCGCCGTTGCGGTAGAGCGCATAAATTTTTGGTATATGCTGAAAAAGGCAACCACTATTGTAGTTGCTATTGTATATGCGCGTTAAAATTCCGGTTAACTTTTGCGTGAGCACTGCTCAACAACGGTTTATCCAATAACGTAACGCGTGCCAAAGAGTTGATTAGTTGTAACACTGAAAACGCGAATAAAATAATTATTTTTTACGCACAATTACAATTGATGTTCAATTTAATGAAAATTGCGATGGGCTCAAGAGAACGCAGATATTCTAAGAATAGCACAAGACTATTTATTGCACACACACATACAACAGTGTAACTGCTGTATTTGTTGTTATTGGCAAGCTTGCAATTGCTATATGTGCTGCTCTTTGCAATCTTTTCGCAGGGATACTTGTAATAAAATTTGTTGTTGCACTGCACTTATGCATACATTGGCGGTAGCTTCAAAGCTCTCACCTCTCTACAACCCAACTTTGCAATAGCTTCCTGTGGGCAGCAATTATTCTTGGGCGTCGTTTTAGCACTCTTCTTTAATTCGCACAATTTCGATTTTTCCTAAACACTTCGGGTTTTCTTTTCCTTCTGACTCCTGAAATGGGTGTGACACTAAATATTTTATTGGACAAAAACTTAATTTAACACATCAATATCACAAAAATTCTATATGTGATATACTACACTAGTCGGAAGCCAAAAATCATGACCATTTCATAATCAAAATGACTTATTTATCTTTCTGCTTCAAACAATTACACATACACAATTAGCACTAGCACTATTTTTATTACTTTATTATTATTTACAAATTTTATTCACACTTTTAAATTTTATTTACATACACGAATGATGTTAGGAAAAGAACAATAGATTTATTTTAAATTGAACTTCCAGGAATTTCACAAGTCAAATGGACACTAAATCGAACAAATATGTATACAAATGTAAACCGACACGAAAGGCTCACGATGTAGCAAAACCGTTGCTGTTTTCTCGCCTTTTTTTCCGGGTTCTAGATGTCACAGTTCACAACCAAAAGAGTTGCCATACACATACATGTATACGTTTAGCTACAAATTATCAAACTTAGCAACCGGCTTTTAAACTTGTTTTTACTAGCGAATTCTTATTGGGCTACGGCACGTTTAAATTAGAAATAATCACAGTGATCAATCATAACCAACTACAATTTTGAGAGTACTGATCAGCTGCTCAGGTGTGAAAGGTAAATTTTTGTTTTGTCAATATGGCAACTTTAGTTGGCCATTGACAGCTGTGATCTGTAAGAAGTGGCTGTGTTCATTGCTTCGTGTTGCAATATATCGATAATACAAAATTATGCGAGTAATAACAAAAATTACTTGTAAATAAGAGCGATGAGCTATATTATTTTATACTTAAAAATAAGAAGTGCCAAGTATGTTATTTACAATTTTACGCGACCAACAGTTTATACAAGTAAACCTATTGTTTGACACCAATAAAAATACAGTTGAACTTTTTTGAATTTTAACAGTGGTTCATAACAAACCAAATTACATTTATTTGTTGTTAGAAGTTTCATTATCCACTTCTACACCATTCATAATCGACCATAATTCACTAGATGTAACTCCATACCACAAAGAACGTACAACAAGTACAACGAAGAGTAATTCGCGTATATGTAAATGTTTCTTTTTCAAGTCGCTGCCTGGCCACCAACGCCACCAACTTTCATTTGTTTCGTTTTGTCTATAATTTGCTTGGCTTTTGTTGTTAGCGTTGTTGCCATTATCGTAGTTTTATGCAAACATACGTAATTCTTCTCTATGTTCTATGGGTTTTGGTGGAGCTGGCTCTTCCCATTCTCCCAATTCGGCATCATAATATTGCGCGGCACGATATGGACGCAATTCCCATGGCACTTGCTCTTCCATAGAAGTCAATTGAACACCTAAATCTTCCAAGCATGGTATGTCGGAGCGTACGACATCGGTGATGCATTCGCGCTCGATACGTTCCACGTGTAACTCACCAATAGGTTGTCCAGGACAGATAAGCTCTGTGAATTTGGCTTTCAAAAGGAAGGTAGGATCCCAACGCATGTCATAACGACGATATCCCCACCATTTCTCATCTTTGCGCATAACACGATGGAACCAGTCAACTAATTCGCTCAACTGGTAACGTTTGGGTCTGAAAAAGAATTTAAAATATTAGAAAGTATATACATTCAACTTTGCTCAAAACCTACCCAACAGCTTGATAAACCTGACCAGCAGTATCGGGATCCTTAGCGCAGTTGACAATAGCTTGTGCAACATCCGACACATAAACGGGTTGTTTTACGGTACGTTCACCGGCAAACCAGAGTGGCATGGCACGGAATTGGCGACGCCAAATGTGAGCGTAGTAACGTAGGAAACGATCCTCCGAGCCATAGATATCCGCGGGCCTTATAATGGTTGCCTCAGGGAATTCATCGCGTACAGCACTTTCACCATAGTATTTGCTCTTCAAAAAGTTGCTGCCACCCTCAAGCACAAAGCTCATTGGTTCGGGACTAGCATTCAAAGCAGACAAATGAATCAAACGTTCCACACCAGCTTCTTTGCTGATTCTATAAAAAAAAAGATTAATAAAAAACGTATGAATATAATTTAAATTACGTTTAATTCTAACTTACCTAGCTATACGACGTGCGCCTTCTACATGCACATCATTGAATTTAAAATTTTTGGTCTCGAATTCACGACCAACTAAATTGATAACTACATTTGAGTACTTCACAGCATCGCGTATCGCTTTTTCGTCTCTTAAATCATAAAATTGGAACAGCACTTGACCCAAATCGCCGCACACCTTAAGACGAATAGCCTCACCGAAATCCCCACGATATGGCATTATCATTTGGGTACCAGTTTTACCCAGCTTATTGCAAACATAGCGACCTACGAAGCCGGTACACCCGAATATAGTTGCAACAATTCCATTGAAGCTGCTTCGTCCGCCGGTACCACGACGCATGGCGCTGACATTGGTGCTTTTTAATGGACGAGGACCTTCGGAGGAGTTCGAAGCATGGCGCACAAAAAGTACACTTAATGCAGCGCTGCTCTGTTGCTCTGCAGTAATTATAGGTGAAATATTTAATAAAAAATACACAAATTATTGCATACATTTTAATGCAAAATGAAAGTTACATAATATTTATGTGCTCCTGGTAAAGCAGCTGTGCACCAATCAACTTACTTGCTATCTGGCCATTACGCAGCAGTATTAACGAGGCCATCTTTAGTTACTTCGCAGTTTAATTGGAACAAAATCACAGTCGATGTGTTACTTATCCTCCCAACGAAAATTTGCAATCAGTCGTTCCTAATTAAAATTACACTCGTATAGAAAAGAAAAAAAAACACCACACGTCTAATTTTGAAACGTCAAATTTTGACGTTTTTCTTTTATACACAAATTTGTGGAAAAGATAGCAAAAATTACAATGTACGATTCTGATGGATATGGGTTTTATGGTAATTGACATTAATTTAGACATACATAATCTGATGCTTAGACTTCAAATTTATTTATCACGTCTTTGTCGAAAATGCATATGAAAATATTAACGATAATTTTTCAGATTTTGATGTTAGTTAAAAAAGGGCAGAAATAAAAAAAGTATCTTAACCCGGCAAGTCGCGAGTACCCAAAACTCCAATGTATTCAAAGAATTTTCATGGAAGCGAAGAATAATAGAATTACGTTGTTTTTATCATTCTGGATGGGAATAAATCCATAAAGTTGTTGTACCTTTATTTCTTATAATCTAAAAATGCGTAGGAGGATAACATGTTTGCAAGAGTTTTAGGAAGTTTTATCAAATCGTCCTAAAAGTATTTCTGCTAGGGCTCTCTGGTATTTCGTAATGATAACTTACTGCGAATATTATCAGTACTTACACTACATTTCCGTAAAATTATTATTATCGCGGGCCAATGCAATGATGATTGCTCCAACCTTTTGTTATCGGTATCTTCTATCGTATGGTTAACAATATTTCGATAAACTCGATTAGTGTTAAACATTACTAGTATTTTTCGAAGCTAGGAAGAAAAGAAAGCAAAGATTTTGCAAACAACGATTTTATTTAACTTAAAAGAAAAGCTTTAGAAAAATTAGTATTGTGCATAAGTTAAGAAGATCTACAATGCAAATATATAAGTATTAAACTTCAATGGTTCATGTACGTAGTGTTTAAAGGAATATAAAAAGTAAAGTGGTTTGGTGTGAAGAAGTGTATCGACAGCGGCTTGCCTAGCGGAGCCCCATTCTTGGTTAAATTCACCGCATTTGTTACACGTTGTAAAGCCTTTAAATAATATAATGAATTCTACTGTAGTAAAGGCGGCGGTCGGAACAACTAGTGAGTGTTAAATATAATTATTATATATTGTTAATTTAACTACATATTTTCTACAAATATACCATAATTTTACTAGAACGCATATACTTTTTTTTTTTGAAAATGGTTTTCATAAACACAGACTTAATACGATTTCCTTAAAAGCTTTCTATTTATATTATCTTATATCTTATATCTTTTTCAGCAACAACAGCTGCTCAGTTGCTCAGCTCTGCACCAAGCGCTGCTGAAAAAAATAAACAATGGCAACGCGAACTGCTTATGGAACGGATACGTACGCGCTCCAATCAACACAAATCCTTTCCTGAACTGGCGAAGGCTATGCGCATGTCCATGTTGGAGAAACGTTATGCACTCGATGCAGTGGAGAAGGCAAATTTGCAAAAATGCCTCGACAGCATGCAACATTGCATTAAAGTAACATCACGACAAGGGCTCGTTGAAAGGCTTGAGAGTCTTTCGCGCCAGTTGGGCCTCAAGTTCATGGAAGATACCTCGGGTTTGTTTATATCGACCGATATGTTCTTTTTGGAAATTATTTTGGACGCAAACGGCGCACTAACCGATGTCAAAGTGCATCATGAATGCAAAATTGAACAACAATCATGCAGTGAATTGGTGAACTGCTTGAATCGTGGTGATTTTGCCGATTTCACTGTGCAGTTGGAGGGTCTATCCTCCATCTATCAATTGAATGCAGAACCCAAAGTCAAAACCAAGGCTTTTGTTGCCTTACAAGCGATGGAAACCGATTTATATAATCTCTTTCAAATGCAGAATTTCACAAAAGACTCGCAGCAACTAGTCAAATCATCTTCAGTGGGTTTAGTGCTTAAGCGACGTGGCGGTCATCCAATGAAACTCATTTATTTCGTTTCACCTTATGATCTCATATCACTGGATACGAAGTCGGTGCAACCGCTAACTACCGATTTAATAACAAGCAAAGATATTGGCTTCAGTGTGACTGTGAACCTGGAGGCTTCGTCAGCGAATAAATTGCAAATATTGCCGATTGTTAGCGTAACAAATGATCCACAAACCGGGATTGATGTACCAATATATGCGCCATTGAATCAGCAAAATTCCATGCTCTTACCCGCCACATTTGTGTTACGTCTAAACAAACCGCTACCTGTATGCCATGCCAATTTGAGAGCTTTGGGTTTGCCGCTCGGTGTGGCATCTGACGGCGCAACCGGCTTAGAATCACCTGACAAAAAAGAAGTTGCCATATCATCGATTATGAATTTGGTAGTGCAAACCGCTTCCGAGCAACAATTAAAGAACTCACAGAAGGGTCTCTTTGTAAATTTGCCGGATCAGACGCATTGCTACTTCTTCACAGAGAATAAACAATTACAGGTGTGTATTATTAATTAGGTTAAGTTTTAAGTATCTATATTTCATGACGGATACTGTAAATTACCATTTGTGGTCTATGGTATATAAATTAACAGCGTGACGAGTGAAATCAATCTGTCAATCAAACCGTCAGTCTGTGTATACACGCACTAGTAACTCAGGAACCGCCGATATCGGACCTTTATAGCATATATGTAGCTATCATACAAACGGAACCAGCAAAATCAAGTCCTTTTTATTTGACAAAATGTCTTCACAATTTATCATGGATTATTGCCGATAGAAACGCTACAATCACCAAAAAAATTGTTCAGATCGCACAACTATAGCATATACATAGCTGTCATACAAACTGATATATCCAAATTAAGTTCTTTATTTTTTTTTTGTGACGGCTATTAAGCGTTGGTGCAACCGAAGTTAACATTTTTTAATTAGTTTAATGCAACCAATTGTTTTTTTTTTATTAGGCTACCCTGGTTTCATCCATACCCTTTACGGAGCCTATGCAAGTACCAAAAATTTTGGATTTTCTCAAGCGTCAGGCGCTTTTCTACACTCTTCTGGCAAGTTGTGTGCGTACACAGTCAAAAATGGGTAACGGTAAGTTTTTGCTTTAAATATTGGCACTAATATCTTCAGTTAGTAATTATAATGTTGATCATTTTAGACATGGAATCCACCACCATACTCGAAGTGAACGCCATTTCCTTTCAACAAATCAGCGTTTCATTGCAACATACCTACGAGGAGACAATGGCAACTCTGGAGTTCGATTTACGTGACGGCAATGTAAAGTGTGCACTCTACTCGCTAACACACAACTATGATCTGCTGTCGTTGAAACTTACAAAAGTTGTGGAAAAGTGTTTATCCATACCGGTGACCATACGTGCGCTACTCAAGTTTTGGGATCAAGAAACAATGAGCATGTTTCAGCGCACAATCGGTGGTGGCGTTGGCGGTGGCATGGGTGGTTTAGGTGGTACGGGCGCTTGTGGCAGCACTGGCAATGCTGGTTATGGAAATTTTAGTATGGTCATGGGACCGAATGATTCGGGCGGTGGTGTTGGCGGTAGTGCTGGCATGCGTGGTGGTGGCGTTAAAATGGAACAAAATGCACGACAACAACAACAACAAATGTCGAATATGGCTTCTGCAACGACGTCAATGAGTGGTGGTGGTGTCGGTGGCGTTGGCATGAATGCCGCTTGCAATAGCGTTGCCGGCATTGCAGGTTTTCTACAATATAAAAACGAAGTCAAGCAGGAGGATTTTCATGATAGCCCAAAGAGTCAAATGCAAAATAATTTAGCTTTCCATGCTGCTGTTGAAAGCAGCTCTTTGGGCAGCGTACATCAGCTACAGCAAACGCAGCAGCAACAACAACAACAACAACTACTACAACAACAAGCCGCATCACCACATGAGCAAAATGCCGGCGGCAAGCAAACGGAAATCGAAATAGCCGATAAGTACAAAAACATCTGGATGGATAAAACAAATTTAAAGAATTGCGTCAGCATAACACCCATTTCGCCGGATAGTAATAGTAGAGGCGCTACCCAACAACAAGGCGTCGATGTAAAACGCTCCGTCGGCATAGAAATTATACCTTTGACGGCAGCGAACGGCGCCAATGCTAGCGGCGCTACAGTCACAATGCCCGGCGGCACGAATGTGCCACAAACCGGCGTCAACACCTCATCCACCATCACTATAACGCCCATAAATGCCGTAACCAATACGGCTATTAATGCCAATAAGGATAAAAAAACGAGCGGCGGCACAGCGGTGGGTAGTGGTGGCTTAAATGCCGGCCCGAATATGTCTGCGGTGGGTGGCAAGCGTCCATTGGATGTAACCTCAAGCAACGATACGCAAAAGGAGAAGAAACGTAAAAAGAAGCGCGACGACTCACCTATGGGTCCACCGGAAAAAGTGTATTCCCGTCAAAATTCGCCTGCTGCCACCAACGAGACAGCTGCCACAGTAGCGGCACGCAAATTCTCCTCACCATCCTCCTCACCAAAGGGTGGCAGCGGCAGCAACATGCTAAGCGGCGCCAACACCGGCGCTGCCGGCAATGCTGCGCTGCTTTCGACACGTCCCAGCCCGAAACATTCGCCCGTCTATAGCAGTCCGAAGCATTCGAATACCGCCTCGAATAGTCCGAAGTCACCGTTCGGCACGCATTCGCCAAAGCATGGCTCTTCGGGCAAGCCGAGCATGTCGACACTGAAGAGTGCCACAGCGACCAGTCTGAGTCCGAAAGGCGACAAAGCCGGTTGTGGCGGCGCAAGCAGTTTAGTTGGCAATGCGGCGGCCGGTGTTGCCGCTGCAAATGCTGTGAAAGCAGCTATGGGTGTGGGTGTGGTTGGTGGCATGCCACAAATGAAGTCTATCAATCATTTAACTGCACCAACAGCTATGAATACGGCTGCTGGTGGCTATGGTGGCGTGGCCAATATGAGTGGCTCGGCTGGTGCTGGTGGCGTTGCTGTCGGTGTCGGTGTTGGCCAGTTGTTGAGTGGCAATGGTGCAGGCGGCGGCATGGATATGAATGCAGCGGCTGTTGCGGCATCACAAGTGGCTGCTATGCGCAAAGTGGTGAGCGGCGCGGTAAGTTCATACAATTTTCAGTAGACACAACTTGCAACCAACACATCTCTTTGCAAAGTTTTTAGTTGTGGTTTTAGTTTTTTATTTTATTATATTTTTTTTGTTGTAGCGTATAACATATTTAGTTTATAGTTTCATTTGCTGCTGCGAGTGTTTTAATTAATTTTCCAAAGTGAGAAAAGTTGTTGCAAAACATATCAGGTTCAAAAAAGAGCAGTAAACCAAGCAATGCTTGTGAAATTTGAGTTGACAAACAAGCTAGCGTGTTCAACAACAAACAAATTGTATAAAAGTTGAGAACTTTTTTTTTTTTGCAAATTTGACTAAAAGATGCACAAAAATGTTTAGACTGTTTGTTTTCGCTAAATTGAGACACATTTGTTAGCGCTTAACTATTTTCTACGCTAATATAAATTAACAAAAACGGTCACATTTGTCAAAAATAATTTTAAATATCATTAGAATTTTTTAAAATATTTGTTTTATAAAAATTAAATTTTCATTTGTTAAAATTTTGCTCTGAAAATAGAAGATAATATTATATTTTGTTAACTCTCTTTGCGCATATGCTAACTGTATTTTCCTACTTAAAAAAATGCAAACATTTGTATACTAGTTTCTTAAATTAAACAAAGAATTAAAATTTTATAAAATAAATAAAAAGTACTATACACATGCTAACACTTGTAGTTTGTCTTATTTATTTTCATTTATTATTTTATTTTCAAATTATTAATATTTTTATTTAATATGCGATTGGTTGATTTTTTTTGGTTAATTTGTTTTTGGTGAAAATGCATGCTCTCGTTAAAAATATATATATTTACAATATAAAAGGTGTGGTTTGATTTTAATAATTACAAGAAACAAAAAACTCGTGCAACAAATAATATATCATATAAAAAATATATCTTATAAAAAATATATCATATAAAAAATATATCATATAAAAAATATATCATTAAAAAAATATATCATATAATATAAAAAATATATCACTAAAAAAATATATCATATAAAAAATCGATTTTAAAATAACATATGCTAAACTATCGATTTTTTTTAAAACATTTACTATTCAATAACTTATATTGAAATATTTTTCTGTTTAAGTTAAAATCGTTTAATATTTGCAATTTTAATGTTTTTTGCAATATAACATTTTTTTTTTTGCAAGTTAGTTTATGTTAGCTTTGTAGCGTTTTTGCGTTTAAAGTGTTTTAATTTTCAAATTTAAGCGTAAATATAATCAACAGCTAATAAATTATTTATTTTGTCTCTAAAATTCTCTTTACGCTCTCTACTTTCTGCGCATAACATTCAATAACTTGTAAAGTTTGAGGTTAGGTCAACTCTAATTTACCAATAATTTTGGTGCATGCTAGGCTTCGTTAAAATATTGATACTACAAGCTTTAGCTTTTAAAAAAAAAAATTATTTACTTGATTAGGCGCGCTTAAAGTTCGGTTTTGAGTTTTGAGGTTATGTTAAGCACAGTTAAGCCTTTTAACAGCTATTGCAACAAATATTTATAATTTTCTACATTATTCTAAACCAATTTTGGGAGTTTCCATCAATTTGTTTGAAGTTTATGTTGAATTTCGATTTTAGTTTTGATCGAAAAAAGGAAACAAGTAAGGGAGCGCTTAGTTCGGGCTTAACCGTATTTCATATTCTTTCTATTTCATTTAGATAACTCATATATCGACCGATTTATGCGGTATAAAGTCAGCCGGAAGTTTGAAAATCTTTCTAATAAGTATATGGGGCTGAGGGAGTTATTGATCCTATTACAACTATTTTTGACGTACATATATACATACTATTATCAGAAATGGATTCTTTCCGTATTTCTTTCATATATCTCACAAATTGAGCGATATTTTCAATCAAAAGTTCGCAATAAGAACTGGGGTCCACTGTTCGGTATCTGGGCGCTTGAACAGTTTTACTCCGATGTGGGCAATTTTTGGTAACAAGGGGGCCTACTTTGAGCGCCCTATTCAGGCAAAGTTTTATCCTGATATATTCTTTGGTGCTTGATTTGCATATTGGAAAGTGAAAGAATCAGATGGAGTTTAAAATTGTGTTATATGAAAAGTAGGCGTGGTTTTTGTCTAATTACGCCCATTTTCGCATTGTATTGCAGAAATATCAGAATAATATTACGTACCGAATTTGGTTAAAATCGGTCAAGTAGGTTTCGAGATATGGATTTTCATCTAAATATAGACGGGGCCACGCCCATCGTCCAAATTTGAGACCGGCTCCTAAAAATCCTTTTTGTACCATATCGGCTGTAAAATTTTATGTCTCTGCCGCATTTATCTATAGATTTATCGCACTTTTAGCAAACCCGTTATATGGGAGTGGGCGTGGTTATAATACGAATTTACCCATTTTTACAGGGTGAGATTGACAAAAATATATACCCTGAGCGAATTCAGTTGTTATTGCTTGAATGGTTTAGGAGTACAGTAAAATTACTGCGGGGTGCGGCCACGCCCACTTTTAACAATTTTTTCAATCAGATACACCCCTTCCTAATGCAATTTATTATACTAAATAACAGCCTTGTTTCGTATTGTGAAGCTAAATTCTGGCTGTTTATTGGTTTTCGATTAATGTCGTTTTGTAGGCGTGGCAATGACCTTGACACCAAGTTTCGTCGAGATATCTCAAATTTTACTTCCGACAAATGAGCAGCTGTCTAGGGAGAAAAGTATGTGTGCAAAATTTCAGATGGATATCTCAAAAACTGAGAAACTAGTTCGCGTATATACGGACAGTCAGACGGACATGTCTAAATCGACTCTGCGCGTCTCGCTGATCATTTATACATGTATATTATAGAACTCCCAACATTTTTTTTGTACTGAGTGTTACAAACTTCATGGGAAACTTAATATACCCTGTACAGGGTATATAAAAAAAATGTAATCGGTGTATTCTGATCGCATGCGATAGATGCCGAACACCAGATAAAGTTTGATTACAATTTTCTTTCGAAACTCCAATGGAAGCTCTATAATTCGCAACCGGTCTATTAAATGCTTAGTTGAGATCTGACCACTAAAAAAATTTATAAATAACAGCTTAAAAATTAGTAAAAAGTGCTGAACATATTAAGTTTAGCAATTTTTTGGAAAAAGTTTTTATTAGAAAAAAAATATATGAATATTATTTATGGCTTTTTGAAAATTTAAAATGTATTTAAATAATTTTTTTTTATAAAAATGTTTTTAATAGTTTGATTTTAATTAAATATCTTTTATTATCTTTGTGTAAAGAAGTAGTGCAAATTGTTGGTTTTAAGGTTAAACACATTAATATGAAATAATTTTTTTAATGAAAACAAAACTTAATTAATGATAATTTTGAATAACTTTTACTAACAATTTATACTTCACTCTCTCTCTCTCTCTCTTTCTCCCTCTCTTTTTCTTTTTCCCTCACTCTTTTATTTCTTTTTACTATTTTTATACACTTTTGCTTCCTTCTGCTTCCTTCTGCTCTTACTCCTTGCACTAATTATTTTTCAACACTGTTTTCTAAATTTTTTTCTATACTTTTTTTTCTCTATTTTTTAAAATATTTTATTCAATACTTTTTTCTGTATATTTTTTAAAATATTTTTTTCAATACTTTTTTCTGTATATTTTCAAAATTTTTTGCAACATGTTTCCACCTAACAAACATTTACTTACAAACAAACACCTAAATACACCACCTTCTCCCCACACTCTGACCCATTATAATTGCTTTTTCATTTTAACGCTTTCCGCGTGCAATTTATCCACACACACACTCTCTATGATACGAAATTCTTTTGTCAGGTTAGTTCGACGGCGTCAACGATGTCAGTCGCGCCAACAACAGCAACAGCAACGCCAACGCTTCCGGGAGCGCCAGTGTCGGCGCCGCTGCAACACTCGCCGCCGGACATTGGCAGCAGTGAGGTGAAGTGCGGTGGACGTGCCGAGTCAACACAGCAGTTCAACTCCACCGAATACATGGTGAAACCGAGCCAGGAGGGCTTGAAGCTGACCATCAACAAAACGAGCGGTGCTGGCAAATCCAGTATTAGTAGCAACAATGCCAACAGCAACAACGCCAATAGCTGTAGCAGCAGCGCTAGTTTGGCTTCTACAAGCAATACCACCACAACAGCTGGGAAGGGTTTGAAATCGTGTAGCGCCACGGGTTCAACTAAGAAACAACATACTGGACTCAAACCGGGCGTTAGCAGTGGACCGGCCTCTAAGAAGTTAGCGTCAGCCAAGTCACCGTCCAAGAAAAGTTCGACATGCAAGCATCCCTTTCAAAAATCCAACTCATCCGGTAGCTTGTCAACGAAATCGACCAATCCTACGGGTGGTCTGACCAAAAGCTACAGCACAAACACATTTGGCGACCTGAGTGGTACGGGCGTCGCAGCAGCACGTAAGTCCGCCAAGAAATCCGCCACGCCGTCGTCAACGTCGACGGCGAACGCGAGCGCCAATGCAACCGCTACTTCTGCACCTGCTACACGCTTGGATCACCAAGCGGATATGTTGAAAATACTACAATATGCCTCACCGGCAATGGCGGCCAACATGGAGGGTTTCATGAAGGGCTTCAATAGTAAATTTCAAATACCGAAATTATCGCAACGCGCCGCCAACCTCTCGAATGGCTCACAATCGGCACCGACCACGCCGACTGCACTCTCGCCAGCTTTGAGTGGTGTTAACAGTACTGTGGGTGCAAAGGTTGATAACCCTGCCAACGAAGCCCTACAAACGTTACAGCATACGCAACAACAGCAACAACAACAGCAACAGCAACAAAATGCTACCACAATGCAACTGAACGCTAATTATCATTTGGCACAGAAAAGCGAAGGCTTACAAATGCATTATGCTAATCATCACCGTCAGCAGCAGCAGCAGCAACAACAACAACAACACTCGCAAATGCATAATCAGCACGCTCAACACCAGGCAGCTTTAACAGCTGACTACCACCATCAAGCGTCGGCCGTCGCTCACAGTCAACCACTGGACGAGTCGTCGTTTATGCCGAACGCTGCTGCTGCGTCGTCGGCTGGATACGGCGGTAAATGACATTACTTAGTTAAATTTATATTTTATTACTCATAAGTTTCAAGTATTTGTTTATTATTTTAAATTGTAAAATTCTTTTTGTCAATCCACGGATTTGTTGGAGTCCAATGGCGTTAGCTTGCTTAAGCCTTGGCGAGCTCTTAAAGATTGTTAGCGTATTTGTAACTGGAAATTTGCACTTGTTTTTTTAATTTTTAAGGTTAGGTATGTCTGAAAATTGGTTTTGATGTTGAAATTTTTGAAGTCGCAGATTAGATTAGAAGTATTCGGGGTACCGACTGTGCTAGAAAAGTTTATGATCGGACGAAATGACTTGGATTGTCATACTGTATGATATATCAGCTCAGTAAAGACTTTCTAACTTTAACTGACACATTTTTGGGTCTGACTTTATCGCTGTTATTGTACCAACACCAGAAATTAGCATCTATTGATTTCATTTATAATGAACGTTCAACACCAGCTATTTTGGTTCAAAAAAATCGAAAACTATTGAGTTCAGATCGCTTTGGCTCGAAGATGGCTCATGGTTAGCGTCCAAGCAAAAAGCTTTGCGCTGTGTTTTTTTTTAGGTTAGGTGCTAATTCGTATGTATGTATAAAGCGCCAAGCTGAGTACCTCAACATTTTAGGTTAGTCTTTATAAAACAGATCACTTCAATTAGGTCTCTCTACAGACTTATTTTTCAAACATACTAAATCTTTAAAAAAATTTAAATACTTATATATTTTGCAACTGCCAATTTCCAGTAATACAAACTGTTTGTACTTAAAATATATGTTTTTGAAAACTAGTAAAATCAACGAATATTTAAGTTTAAGTAAGGCATCACTTAATTATCTGAAGAATACAGCTAGATACATATTTTATCAAATATTAAGTAGAAATAGTATAAACGGCACTGTGAGAAATTCGTATGCCTTTCAGCGTCAATTTCGAATGCCTAAAAGTATGCAGTATTTTCTTTGAAAATTTGTTGAAATCATACAAATTTATATCATTATATACTTTATGATTGATTTTTACATTTGTATTATAATTATTTAATCTATTTTCGTATACCATCAGGAAAACAACCACTCACGCAAGAATTATTGAAACATATTTGTCTGGGAAATTTTAAAGTGACAAATATCATTTCGTTTGTTGATAATGCTCACACTTTAGCTAAAGGATGATATTTTTAATGACATTTAAGCGATACAATTCACGTTTGCTTTAACTACTGCAATTCTTACTTAACATATATGAAGATCTTTCCTAAAGATTTCACGTGTCAGGTAACAAAAGACGTCTGGCTTCGTTTATGCCTTACGTTTGGCGAATCTCAACGTTTAATCCCTTTCTCTTTGATTTCAATTTCTACAAAAGGGATACAACCGGTACGCTTTATTGTAACATGTTTGAATGTTGCGGCTAGAAATAAAATATGCCTAAAAACATGCAACAATTGCATGGTGACCTTCAGAAATTACTGAATAAAATGACTATAAAAACCATCTCGATCTGAAAAGTACTAGTTTTTGGACTATGTTCAGTAAGATGCATCCTTGTGTAAATTATGTTCTTTTCCGGTTAAAGTAACGGTTAAGAAAGCATTCATCTGAAATATATCCTGTTGCAGGCAGAACTTGAGTATCGATATCAGAAGCGTTCCTCGAACAAAAAGCGTTAAATACTTGTTTGCAATTTCTGAAGCGTTCCTCGTTCAAATAGACGCTTATGAAAGGAATTCTTCGGAAAATTTAGCAGTTTATGTCCTTTTATTGGTCGAACACCAATAAATATGTACAATGAATCCTTGAAAATGTATTTTCTTTCTTTTCTGTTTAAAGTAATATCTGTCACTAAAGTGACGTTTAAGAAAGTGTTCACCCAATAAACCCATTAAACAGCTGTTTTAATATATATTGTTGGTATATTCGCCAATCATTTTAAGTAATAGTTTAGATTTAGGACAAGTCGTGATGTTAAAGAGAATCTGTTTTGGAGAAACACGCTAGTACTTGCTTCCTTGTCTAAATAATAATCTCTGACTAAGGCGACGTTTAACCCAAAAAACTTATTACACGGCAACGGATTAAGGTAGGGGCTGTATAAATTTAGGTGTTATCGCCAGTATCTCATAAGGATTAATAGAAATCCTTTGGGTGGTTTCGAGTCGTTAAAAACAATCTTATTTGAAGAGAAACACTACATAGTTTTTACGGTAACTAACTTTAATAAACCTTTTGAGATATCATAGAGTTGGCTACGTTGTACAAGTCTTAACGATAATTTTGTCCAATATGAGTAGTTATCGCAAGTTTGATCTGAACAAAAAATATCAAAAACAAAGCGATATATATTGAAAATTTTTATTTTATATTTTTGAGCAGCCTTTTGATAGATGTATTTAAAAAAAACGATTTTTGTATATGCGATATGTAAAATCGATAATTACAATCGATTAATTGCTAACACTAATGATTTATCGATATGGTGTATAGTTATTATATATAACGGTATATCGATATAATTATCGAGTGACTTAAAGGGTTGAGTTTTATATTTTTGAGCAGCTCTCATATGTTCAAAAACTCGATTTTTGTATATGTAAAATCGATAATGACAATCGATTAATTGCCAACACTAACGATTTATTGAAATGGTGTATAGTTATTATATATAACGGTATATGGTTAAAAGTAATTATTGAGAACAACTTAAAAAGTTGAGTTTTATATTTTTGAGCAGCTCTCATCTATTGAAAAACTCGATTTTTGCATATTGCATACATTGTGTGAAAATGTTGCATATGTTATAACAAAAATCAATTATCGATATAGTTATCGAGAGTGTCTTAAAGAGTTGCGCTGGAACAGGCAGTTTTCGATATTATTGAGTCTATTTAGGCATCGTTGAAATTTGTATCGATAATTTTGTCCGACTCTCATAATACTACTCATAACACAAAACTAATAAATTATAATTTATTTACGTTTTTGAACAGGTTTGTGTTTTATCTATTGAGAAAATCGATTTATATATACATATATGAATTTGCATTTTCTTTTTGTATTGAAAAATATGTTGATACTAAAATATCAACATTAAAATTGATTAATAAGCGATCAATAATATTATTTGAATGTAAGAGTGTCTTAAAGTGTTGCTTCTCAGCAGGCAATATTTAATATACTTAATTTTAATAACAGTATTTTATAATATAAATGTATGCCCACAAAATATTGAAATGGATGCGAAAAGTTTTATGTGAGTATATGCTAGCATACTTTTGGGCGTTTATTTTATACATACATATGTGCATGTAAGAAATTTTTTTAACAATTAATAACACTCGAGTAGAATTTTTCATATTTCCAAAATGTTTGTAAATTATTGAAGAATGCGCCTAAAAGTATGTCATCTGTAAAACAAAATAATAGTTTTCGATTTTGGTCTTCAAAAATTTCAATTTGAAAATAAAAGGCAGTAGAGTTTGTACCTCAAAAACATCACAGAAATTTAATTTCACCATTTAATTAAATTACATTTTTTAAATTTACGCTAACCAATTTGACCATTTAGTGTCAACTAGATACAAAAATATTATTAACATATAAATAATTAAATACAAATTATATTTAAATATTAAAAGTAAAAACTTCTTATAAAATTTGGACTGAAACGGCTGGGCTAGAAACAAAATTGAGTACAAAAATTAAAAGAAAAATATGATTTTTGTAAATCATATACCAAAACACACTTACATAACTACAAATACGCATTTAGTTGCAAAAAATTGTAAAACATAATTGATACTAAGACTTTTGGAATTATATGAAATTGAAAATAATATGCATACGTTATATTACAGTCAAAAGAAGAATCATTGTTGAAATATTAGTTAAGCTCGAAAGCAAATTATTAACGGCAATAACTGTAAAAAAGAATAAAATGAATTGAGACAAATTTTCAAAACTGCCTGCTGTCGTTTCTTCTAACTGTTTACTGTGCATACAAATATTTAAGCGTGGTGAGTATTATGAGGTTGTTCGAGATTTGTGTGAATAAATTTAAATCATTTTAATTCTCACTATTCTGGTTTTCAGCTTAATTGTTGTTGCAAGAGTCAAGAAATTAATTATTTAATTAAGCACATCAGCGTAAATGGAGATTAAAGAAGAACTATAAACCTGGTACTTGATTTGTTTTTCGTTTTTGCTTGTTAAACAATAAATAAAAAAGTTTTAATATAGAAAAAGGTTTATGATTTGGTATTTCAAAAGCCTTTGATACTTAAAGAGCATTATGAAGAGTGAGATTCTAGTTAACGAAGAGTGCTACAGAGGCTGAAAAAAAAATGAGTGTTTGAATTTAATCTATGCCAAATTTCGTGAAGATAACTTGAAACATAAAAATATTCCCATACTACGACTTGATTTCTATTGTTTAGTTTGTATGGCAGCTATATACTATAGTGATCCGATCTGAATACTTTGTTCAGAAAAGGTAGCGTTGACTTGGTCTAGTCTTAATTTCGTGAAGATATCTCGTCAAATGAAAAAATTTACTTTACAACGACTTTCAACTCGTTTAGTTTGTGTGGCAGCTATGTATATGCTATAGTTGTACGGTATCGGCGGTTCCGACAAATTAGCTACTTCTTAGTGAGAAAAGGACTTGTGCAAAATTTCAAATCCATATCTCAAAAACTGACTTACTAGCATAAAAATAATAATAATCCCTATCAGCCTTGATCTCGCAAAGACGGCGCAATGGAGAATAAAGTGTTGAAATGTTTCTATCTCGTCTTCTTCTAAACAGCGCATATCAACTTTACCACGGCGACAGGACGACACGGCAATGACCAGTTTGAACCCCTACAAGTAAGCAAAGGCTAAACTTACTGAGGGCACAGAGCCTCTTGCGATTCACTTTGGGGCAAAAGGATCTTGCGACAGCGCAAGAATCAATGTTAGCCCAACTATTCATTACTACAATGCACGAAGAGAGTTCCATTACTTGTATATTACTAGCGAAGCTAAGGTGCCTTTTCTTGCCAGTTCGTCGGCTTTGCAGTTATCTGCGATTCCGCTGTGGTCCGATACCCCTACTAGTCTTATCACGGAGTGACTCGATGCCGTTGATAGTAAGCTTAGGCATTGCTTAACTAGACATTATTCTGAAATGCAAAACTCTTTATTTGATTTGGTGATTTCGGTATATTTATAGCTTCCCTAGCGTCAATATATCCAATATAATGGATTCCATCTTCTTGTTATCAGGCAAAGTTACCTACCTAGTTTCAGTAAAATATCTTAGAAAATTGACCTAGATATTTGGTCAGCCACAGACAATGAGGTCCAAATATTCGATATATGTATGTGTATATTGCAAAGTATAAGAATTTGGTGAAGGTAGGCGTGGATGTTATCCGATTTCGCTGCGCTTGGTTTGTATAACTTTCGTCGTTTGTGAGATATGTACATTAAACCGAATAGAGGCCAACGAACTTATACGAATTTCGTTCATTCGGAAAGCAATTCCTCTTGTGCTGTTTAAAAAACTTTATTCGCCAGGTGTCGCTGTGGTCCATTAAATCTTCAAAATTAATTTACTTCACAAATATTTTTTCTGGAGAAAACGAAGCTTGAACTTTTTGAAAATTTTATATGTTATGAAATATATATCTATATATTTCTAGAGTAGAAATTGTATTACATAAATAAATACATCTATAAAAATAAAATTTTTAATAAACTTGTTAGTTTGCCTAGCGCAGGCTATAAAAATACGCAACCCCGTCGGCATCACTAAAAGATACAATATAGGGGATGGTCAGTAGAAATTGTCTTGCTCTTACATCGCACATACTCGGCGGAAAATTGATATCTGCATGAAGCCGGTATTGATCTAATAAAAAAGGAAAAAATAAGTTTAAGAATATTTTTTGTAAAAATCAAAATAAAATTTTAATGAAATAAATTCAAATAAATATATAAATTTTTTTTATAGCTAAGAATTATACAGTAAAAGTGGCAACCCATTTAACTGATTTGATATTTAGCATTGCATATATGTACATATGTATGTATTCTAAATTTAGATCATACAAACCTTTAAGATCGCTCAGACTAAGCGCCTCTTGTGGTGTTCTATGTCTGGTTAAAACTTCTATAAAATACCTATCAATTCCAGGATATCTTTCTCGTACTCTTGCGAAGTAACGCTCCGCCGTGTTTAAAGGGCACATTATTATAGGTTTGTAGTTGTTAATTTGTAAAAATATAATTTTCTGTTTTAAAAATGAAATTTACAAATTTATTATATTCAACAAAAAACTCATTTATCATTCAAGGCATGTTGTCATGCAATGACTGAACTACTTTCAGGTTTTCTGAGTTTTTTTAAACGAATTTTTAATATGTAACAAGTAACTTGAGTTTGACAGTTCGTTAACCCATGCTTGATACGAAGCCCGAATTCATAGATTGAAGGTCTTTCCCGATGATTTCAAGCTAGGTCAGCAAATTTTGCTACTTGCGTTAATATGTCTGCATGTTTTTTGGCAGTCATAATCTCGGGATCTTTTCAGCTCTGTTTTGTTTTATTGGCGACTTAACCGCTTACACATTTTAACACAGCCGAGTGGCAGCCATTGAAGAGTTTCGCAAGTTGGCGTCAATTGGTACCCTTTCCAATCTAAAAGAGTACTACGATTTTTGCTTCTAATAAGAGCTGTTAACTCACTGAATATCTTCAAGCCTTCATATTCAAGGTAAACAATCTTTTCTTGCGCTATCGAAAACATTTAAAGCCAACAATGATATGTTGAGCTTAATTTTTCATGGATTTGTTAAATGATAATATTTGTTAAGAGTTCTTATTGTTATTGGTTTTTCGGGTCATAACCACACTTATAAGATGATAAGGGACAATAAACTCATGAACTTAAATAAATATTCTCGATATAGCCTCATATGGATACACTTTTCGTGGTTTCAATCGATAGTATCTGTCAATGCCAGCACCGTTTTTAAACATATTATCATCTTCACGCTGTCATATTTGAGAAACACAGTAGCTAGTTTATCGACTTCTGTTGCTTCCTTATCTTAGTGAAAATCGATCTCTCATTTTTCGTTCGAAACAAAATTATCATTTCGACTATAAGGAAAATACTTCTGCTTCTTCATCGACGGCATGCAAAGATCGAGCATATCATTGCTTGTATCGAGTTGTTCAAACGGTAAGACGAGATCTCAATTAGCGAAGCTGACCTTTTGCATTGACGATTTCGTTTAGAAGCGATGTGTAACTTAGTTTGTGACAAAGTAGAGATCAGAGTCGATGTTAGGTTCTCAGGTTGTGCGCACCTTTGTAATATTATATTGTGCATTTATTATTCATGTTTTTCAGTTATATGAGGTATTGTGAAGAGTAGTGGGATTGCAGTTAAATCTTAAACTTAATCTTTATCTCAACGTGATTGAGATGATTCTAGAACAAACCAACCATCTTTTTTCGAACTCCAGCTAAGTCAGTCGGGTTTAGTTCGTTAATGCGGCTGCGACAATGGTTTCATTTGGTTTCAGAGAGACCGGATATAAAGACGTCCAAATGACGACAACCAAACTGAGCCTTACCACCCAAGCGGGGATCTTAGATAGACAACAACAACAACGTTCAAATGGGAATTTTTTGAAGGTGTACCTTAGGTTTTCTAAAGTTAACTTGTCTCACTTCCATATTTAAAATTTATTTTCGGTAAAGATTCTGCGAGTAGCCTAGACAAACCTCCTCGACTCAGTTTCGGGTAGTGAATTATTTGTTTGTGTGTTTCGTGTGGAACGACAGTACCTGTCACAAATCCGTCACCAAAATCCAATTTCATTAGACGCCTTTGTGTTTTCCTTTTGCCCGCACACATATGCGAGAGATTGTGTGTGCGTTCACCTATGACAGTTGTAAATTGTCGCTGTGGTTCACTGAGATTTTGCGACTTTCACCTTTTTGCGCCGAAAAGAAATCGAAACTGCTAGAATGCAGAAGGCAGAAAAAATGTTAACCACAATTGAATTCAGCATAATTTGAGTGCGACGCACAAAAAATACACGAAATAAATGTGTCACACAAAACGGCATACACACATACACATATACCTTGGTATATTGGCTAACCCTTTTTACTGGGCCCGTCTGAAAATGTTACACAGCTTACCCGAGCGAGATTGACAGTTGTATTATAGACAACACCTTGTATCCATGTCCTGATGCTTGCTTATGTATTTGTTTGCGTATGTGTAAATAAAAGAGACACACTTGTTTACACACCTATTAAAATGACATATATTGTATTATTTACAGAAGTGTGTACACAGTTTTATTTTTGATAAGGACAAGTGGGCACGTGTGGCAAACATATGTGGCCGCACCCAAAATATACGCGTAAAATATATAGGGTTACTCATTTAGTGGGCTTAGAATACGCAGTGATTTAGTTTGACAGCTGTCAGTTGGTTTTTTTTAGGTAATATTTTTATATTATGTCTAACATATAGGCCTCCCTATTGTGTGGAAACTTTTTTAAGTTCCTATACTATATCCGATAATATTGTCCCGGAAGTACCCATTTAGGAAATATTCGTCCACTGAGTCAACGAAAAGCCTTTGATGTCTTAAAGAGATGAAGAGTCCCACGTGATGGCTTTATTTCTTTTCGCAGTGCCTCAGATTCCCAGTGTCTAATTTTTTATACTATTTCCGATAATTTTTTTAAATTAAGATTCGATATTTTTATACTATTTCCGATAATTTTTCTAAATCAAGATTCGAGTCAACGAAAAGCCTTTGATTCTTTAATGATGGCTTCATTTTTTTTATTTCATAGCTTTCAGGCCTTTAGACTTGAGATAATTAAAGTCCCATAATCTTCTATGTTCCTTATATATGATGGTTTCATTTTTTCGGGTACATAGTTTC